ACACTTCTCCTCCACAACAAGTCAAATATCAACAACTTCCTCCATATACAATAATTCCCATACTCCCATGCTTTCAATGATATGCAATGCCACCACGTGGGCCCCCGATTTAACTAAGGAGATTGAGTAAGAAGGTCTCACAATGGTCCTTTAGCACTTCAACTCCAAATTTAAAAGCTTAGTTTAGCAAATTTTTTTTTTTTTTTTTTAGCAACTCTTCATTTTTAGCATTTTTTTCCTTTTTGCTTGCTTTGCTCCTTAGTTTTGAAGTTCTTTGCTAGCTCCTTGCTCAATGCACCTTGTTAATGAAGAACAAACTTAATAAGTAATAAAAAAAAAAACAGGAAATAAAAAGAAAGTAAAGACACGATCAAAAGAGTACTAATCCTAATTGAATTTCACAATTCGACGTTGCCAATTTAAAATCCCCGACAACGGCGCCAAAAACTTGTTGTTGGCTTCCTTGATGGAGTCGCCACAACCAACAAAGCTTGAAGAGTTGTGAATTTAGAGGTGACCAAGTTTTACATTTATAGAAAGCCACTACTACCTTTCTCTATATAAAATATAGACAGGGCGAGTAGGGATCGTCCCAAGGGATTAGATGGTGTATCAAATTGTGAAACTATGGTAATTAGGGTTAGTAGGTCGAGTGATCACATAATTGATTGGTTAGTTGATTAAGCTAAATTGAATTCAACTAAATAAAATAATATGAAGTAAACAAGAGAGAGAGAGAGGTCTTGGGGTGTAGAGATCACCACCAAGCAAAACTTTTCTATACTACTAACAAGTGATCAATTGAGGGTAATGGATGTATTGCAATATGATAAGGGTGTGTGTGGATTAGGTTGATTCAATTGGCAAGGATGACAAATCAAGCAAGTATTGTCTAAACATCATGTGAAGAACACAATATATCTAAACAATAGAGCATATATTGTCTAGACAACATGGGGATAGCACAATAGATTAAAACAAGTCATTAATTCTTCATTAAGCTCACAATCCACATACAACACAATATTAGAGGAATATGCCATTTGGACTCACAAGCATGGAACATCAAACATCAAGAGTAGATTGTCCTCCCATCTAACATTACACTACCACTACACAAAATCTACACTACTAGCATGAAAATAAAGCTATCTAGACTAGGGAAGAGGCACAAACCATCAAGAATAGGCATAAACCATCAAATGAACCAAAATAGCATTCATTAAGCATATCATCTTGATAATCTCTAGATCTATAGCATCAATACACATAAACATGCATCAAAAACACTAAATCTAGGGATAAGCACATGAATGTCCTACTCTAGCATATATAGACATATGGATAGAATATAATAGTCAATTGGAAGCATTAAACCATACAAACCATGAAATAATCAAGATTTATATATACATAAATATCAAGATGTATCATACAACACTAATCCCTCAATAATACACAAGATTAGAGTATAGAAAGCATGCTTGGGGCTAACTCTAGCCCCAAGAGGATGTCTAGCCACTCATGGTAGTGATGATCTAACCCTCAAGGGCTAACTCCATGGCTGCTCCTTGTTGGTGAAGATCTCCTCCAATGGTGCTCTAGCTTCCCTCCTTCCTCCTCTCCAAGAATATCCTCTAAGATCAATTTTCAATGTGTGACAAGAGACTCCCTCAAAAAGTGTATCATATTCCTTATATAGGTAGGTCAAATACACCCCATGATGAGCTGTGGTCGTGCAAGGCATATTCTCCAATCATTGGATGAAGGACGGAATAAATGAGCTAGACTTTAACTTTTTCTCGCTGGAGGAAGTTCGATCGATCGAACCTTAACTTGGATCGATCGAAAATGGGTTCGATCAATCGAACTGCATTTTGGATCGATCGAAGTAGTCTGACTCCTCCGGATAATGACAAGGCTGGGATATTTTCAAACTATTTATGGGGAAAAAGACAAAAGTGGTTGGTAGGCGTACAGCTGTGGATAAGATCAATCATTTGAATAGGACAAAATAGGGTTCGATCGATCGAAGGTGATGTTCAATCGATCGAACTTGGAATTCATCAAAGGCCAAGGTTGGATCTATCGAGAAGTATTGTGATCGATCATAGATGTTCGATCGATCGAACTCTAAGTTGGATCGATCGAACTTTTCAGCTGCACAACTTGATTCCTTTTTGCTCATTTCTTTCTCCACTTTGCTCCCTCCTTTGGTTTATCTCAGGATTGCTTCAATTAAGCTCTTATTTGGCTGAGTTAGCTCAATTTTGGGATTAGTGCCTGAAAATATAAATAACACGTAATAAGTCTAAAACGGCAAAGTAAGATAGATAAAGGTACTAGAATGCTTAAGCTTAACGGGTTTAAATACCCACTTTTCAGTGCTCATCACACATAAACACCTTCCATACTTCCAAAATACCCAACTAAGGATAAACATAATCATAATAATATACAACAACATTAACCACTTAACACATAATGATATAAGCATTTAAACAATTAAGCATGCCTTTCAAATAATTAAACACCTTAACACATAAACAGATAAGCATGCAATCACGTAAGCAATTAAACAAGTAAGCAAATAACTCAACTCCCCATGCAATCCTAGGCAGGCCTCTACCCGTCGTCCTATTGGTATTCGAACCATTGCTCTGATACCAAATTTGTAACGACCCAAAAGGATACCAAAATAATAATAAAAATCTATAAAAATTTCGGCATGACTTTCGCAGAAAATGTCTCTAAACAACCTGTTGAAATACAAAAAAAAAATAAATACAATGGCCTCACTGGGCCTTAAATCTAACATATCCTGTCCCAACGCAATATACATATATTATATCACATCTCCAAAGTGACTACATACATACAAAATCCCATTCCTCTATCTCATCCAACAAGTAACATACTTTGATTACATCAAGTTACAGTCCGAAAAGCGTAGTTAGAATTTAAAAGTCCATGACTTACAACATTATACTAATTAAACTAAAGTTTTATGAGTTAGTTAATATTACATTTACGAAATATTAGAGAGTTTTAATACAAAAGATAGCAAAAAAAATGAGATAGGTCTCCGTGCTCGTCTAAAATCGTGGTGTATCGTTGTCCGCCACCTCTTTTCCATGTCCTGAAAAATGTTAGAAATAATGGGGTGAGCATAAGCTCAGTAGGAAGTGTCTAAGACACACTTCTTATATCCCCGTGAATCCATACAATGAATAGATAAAAAGTGAAAGGGATCATGCTATAAGGAACACACACTCTCAAATACAATAACAAGTATGTAGCAAATACCACCCAATCACAAGTTAACCACAATGTCATGAAGTGTAATATGCAAATGTTACTCCCCATTTTCCGAAACATTTCCGTTTCAACTTCCAAAATCGTTAGTGTAATTCGACCCAAGGCACCTCCAAGGCGTCACGAATGGAGGGTTGACTAACTATCCACGACCACAAGGCACCTCCAAGGCGTTGCATCCGGCCTAGTTAGCTCAACCATGATCCTTTCTAGACTACACTAACACCACGGACCACTAGGCGCCTCCTAGGCGTCCGGTTTTCGCAAAATCCTTTAAAAAATATTTTCCCCAAAATAATTTCGTTTGTTCAAATATATATATATATATATATATATATATATATATATATATTTTTTTTTTCCTTTCTCTTTCCCAATGAATGCATGAATGTGCATGTTTCGATTTATCAATTCAACCATAGGCTCTCACACATTTCATTTACATCATTATCACAATTTAATAGAAATTACTAAGCAATCATTTCTTTTATTTATTTATTGACCATAACATCATTTTCTTTCAAAACAATAAATAAAAAAATAAAAAAATACATAATCTTAGGACATACAATATGTCAACACCAAACATGCTCAATCACCGTAATAAATCTAGTCATATATATGAATTCAAATAACACATGGAACACATTTAGTATTTTAATTAAACATACTTCAACCACAAACTAGATAATCAAAATTAGCATGCATAGGATCAAATTTAAGGGGAAAGATTCACAAAAAAACTAAGAAATTGTAGATTAGAACACCCCTACCTCAATGGAAGTGAAAACTCCCAAAATCCCCAAATCCAAGCCCAAGAACCCTAGAAATTTGAACTCCCTAGAGTGCACCAAGTGATGATTGGCTCCTATCAAATTGAAGGCCTTGACAAGCTCTCCGACTTTGCTTCACAAGGTTCTACCAAATTTCAAAGGGATAGAGTTAGATCAAAGCTTGAAATTGCAGAAAAAAAAAGAAAAAGGAGAAACTGTCGAGAGAGAGGGTTTGGACGCAGAAAGAGAGAGCAGAATAAAAGGCTATACAATGACTCTTAAGTCATTGACTTAAAACTCATGCGGGCCCCACAAGTAAATAAATAAATATTTATTTAACTTATATATATAAACACTACATGAACTCCCGTGGACGAAGACACATTACCGAACCACGTAAAATTTTGTCTTCGTTTTTTTGTGTGTGTGTTTTCTCTTATTTATTATTTTGTGAGTGTATTCTTCTTGTGTGTGTGATCACAACCACTATTATTTATTTGTTGGGCCCACTTTTCCGCACAACACGAACCCCCAACCTCCCCTTTATAAGTTATTAGAGAATATATAGTATTAATAATTTTATTTATAATCATTTATAATTCCATTCAAGTAAAACATAAAGAGAATGTAATTTAACCAAAAACACTTATTTATTCATAAACGTAATTTAAAAAAAAAAATAATAGCCAGTTGCATGGCTATTATTACACCCTTTCATATTTTGTTCACTCTCTTTGACAATCTACGATTTAAAAAAATGATGAAAATTTATTTTTTTTAAAAAAAACTCACGCCATCTGTATAATATTATTCCTCATTTCTTTTGCATTTTATGTGGTAGTCATTTTTGTCCATGCACGTACACTAGCTCTTTAGTTTCCAAAACCGAGCCAAGACCGGGGAGGCAGTCACTTAAAAATGGATATCGGGCTCCTTGGTTGCATCTGCATCTTCTTGAATTTGGAGGTTGAACCAAAAATCACTGCATAAATCATCATAGAACACATATGGACACATGTGTTCTTGGTACCATACTTGATAAATTGGAACAATTTGTTCGGGATCAACATACGTCGCTTGGAGATCATCCATGTACAAATCTTCCATTGAAAATGGTTGTGCCCAAAAGCTTGAAAGATCTCCGAATGTTTCTGATGAGCCAATCGACTCTATGGTCATGTATTCATCAATTTGAAAAGCGGGATCAGCATGTGATGAAGAGCAACTACCCATGGATGAGAGTGGTGAAATTGGGATATCGATATTCATGGAGCCTACTGACTTTGAAGCTTCTGTGACACCAGAAAGTGGAAGCAGGTTGGTCTCAGCTAAGTTGTTTAGTGCTGGTATTTTGTCCTTCAAGCGTTTGTTCAAGTGGGAGTGCCAGTGATTCTTAATTTCATTGTCAGTTCTTCCACTCAATTTCGCTGAAATTGCTGACCATCTGTAATAGGAGATTAGAGATCGAAGACATGAGACCTAAGTAAAATTAATCCTAACATACCAGTCTTGAACATTATATCTTCCTCCAACAGATGAAATCAAATATCATGAGAAGATCTTATAATATTTAACGCATAATTTTTTTGAAGTTAAAGCAATTCACTAACGCACCATGCCTCCACTGATGCTAGAACCCTGACCTCTATTTGGGAAGTAAATTTGTGCCATTTGGTTTAAAGTTTATTTTATAGTTATATTAAAAATGACAATATAAAGGTTAATACATGGAACTTTGAATTACAATAATCTATCACACTTCTCTGGCTGGGTGATCAATATTCTAATATGAAGATGAAGTTAGAGTTTACGTAATGAAAGATTATTTGGTGGGAAGACGTACTAATAGTTTACTAATGTTATATTATTAAGGCCCCAAACCATACTCTCATAAGGCTTTTGTGTAATGAAATAGCACACATTTTAGTACCGGCCGAGAGAAAGAAAAGTAGTTTGAAGATCTTATTTTACATATGTGCAGAATCTGTCTTAGGGCCAATTTTGAAGTCCAACCAATGAAACTCAATACAGAAGGAACTAGGTTTTGATTAGTCATATATGGTTGGAAAGATCTCTGAGTCTACTTTCTAATAGGACAGACATAATTGAATTTGGACTTCTGTTGATCAATTTATAACAGATTTATTAAAAAGTGTTTTTGCAGACTGATTTTTCTCCACTCGAAAAAAACACAGAAGTGGTGATCAAGGACTAAGGTTTTAAGTTTTTATTTTTATTTTTTTTACTTATGATGGATCAAGGTGAGATCTATACTACTTCTAAAGTTTATAATTCTTTTGCGCATCAAAGTTAAATCCTAATCAATAGATTAGTAAAGTATATTTTTAATGATTCTAACAAACAAAACTTTGCAGCCTAATTTGATCGAAACTTAATTAATAAATTTTGCATGTTAATTTGGCAAATTCCACTAGTATCTAGGCCTTACCAAGAAATAAACTTACTGCTCAAGATTTTTCAGATGCACACAGTATTCCACAGAGAATTATGTATAGCAAGGCTTTGTTTGTTGTATATATATATAGCAACGCTTTTTGCCATAACTGAATATATATAAAAGGTATTTCTAAAGATGACCAGTTACTTGTTTCCCAGCATTTCATGCAGTTCGACTATGGTTTCCTCTTCTTCCTTGCTAAAGTTTCCATGCTTTATGCCTGGCCTTAAATAATTCACCCAACGAAGTCTACAACTCTTCCCGGACCTTAACAAACCTGGAAAATATGGAATCAAACTCAAATTAATAAACATGTAAAAATAATGAACAGATTTGGATCGAAGATGGTTTTGATCGATTTCATAATTAATCATATGTATTCATAGAATTATAATTGTTTCTTATATTTATACCAGCAGCTTTTGGGGTGACATTCCAGTTCCAAATGCCATATCTCCTGATGTAAGCTACCAACCTTTGATCTTCTTCAGGACTCCATGCCCCTTTCCTTAAAGAAGCCGCATTCTCAGAGCGAAGAGGAGCTCTCACCATCTCTCACTCTCTGAGAATCTCTCTTAATTTCACTTCTCAGTCACAAAACACTCATTGTGTAGTAGCTATTTAAACATCATATATATATATATTTCAAAAGAGGGTTTCTCACTTACTTCCAAAACATCAATTAATTTAATATTTGTCAATTTGTACTGTTAAAAAGACTTCCACTTCTGTCACTCACTCACTTGTAGCAAGTAGACAAAACTAACCAAAGGACTAACTGTAGACAAAACTAACCAAAGGACGACCAAGACCTAGACAGTATACCCTCGCTCAGTACGGACTTCTTGCGATCAACAAACGCGTAAATTGGTTACTCTTGTAGACCAAGACCTAGACAGTATACCCTCGCTCAGTACAGATTGATGAAGTTTTTAATCGTATATGAAATATTCAAGTTATATTTGGGAGTATTGGCGTTTTGGAATTAAAATTGAAAAAAAAAATAGTTGAAAGTTAGAATTAAATTTCATCCAAGTCCAATCATCGATTCAATGCTCTCAAACGCGGCATCTGTTTCTTATATACCAGCAGCTATTGGCGTCATGTTCCAGTTCTGAATGCCACGCCTTTTGATGTAAGCTATCAACCTTTGATCTTCTTCAGGACTCCATGCGCCTTTCTTTAAAACCCTATTCTCAGATCTTGGAGCCCTCACCATCTCTATGAGAATAATTTCAGTTCTCACTTCTCAGTCTCAAATTAATACTTCAGAAGAGTACTAGCACTTATATATGATCCAATGGTAAACTTCGTTTTCCAAGTTCAGAATTTTTTTAATGGCTGCAATGATATTCAAAGATATTGAAGCCAAAAAATGGATCAATGATAGAAGGTTAATATTTGTTTAATTGTAGAAACTTCATTTTCTGTCACTCACGGTAGGAATTTAGACAAAATACACAAAAGTTTAAAACTAAAGAGAGGACGACCAAGACCAGGAAGTCCGCCCTCAGTACAAACCTTTTTTTCTTTTTCTTTTCTGTTAAATATTTGCGTGTTGCTTGAGTATTGTATTTTTGATATAAATGCGTTGTATAGCTATTTAAAAGTTGTTGTTGGGTATTAAATTTTTTAATGTAATTTTGTTGCATTATGACATATATAACACATACTTAAGCTGTGTTACACTCGTGCACAGGAGGATTGGAGCCTTAGGCCTAAGGCGCCAATCAATTGCAAAACACCTAAATTTATTGTTTCCTTATTTTGTCACACTTACTTAAAATTTTTATTTCCTTGTATTAGTATTTAGTAAGCCCCTAAAATTATTAGTACATATTTACCGTTTCTAAAATCATTATTTTATTATATTATTAGATTTTCTAACATTTTTATTTTATTTTTATATTATTAGACTCTAACTAATATAGGAATTTTTACAAAAATAGTTTTCATTGTTACTTCATTGTAAAACTTTTCATCTAGAGTCTTGTATCCTAGTAAAATCTCCTTTAATTTTCAAAGTAGATGATGAGAGTCGAGTCTTCGTAGAGAGAAAGTATGAATGGTCTTATCAAAGAATTTCATTTAAATAAATATTATTTCTCATATTAAGGTATCACTTTTATAATTTTCACCTAGTACCTTAAATTATTGATCCGCTCCTGACTGTTCAAGTAATCCCTTAGACTGAGTGATCCAATTAAGTAATTGTATAACGTGGAAAAAAAGTTGTATAACATGGAAAAAAAAAGGTAGAAATCAATCCAAGTTGTTGAATAACATGGAAAAAATTGAAACCATCCTTTCATAGGAAGTTGCAAGGAACACATAGCTTCTTCCCAGTTTTCTTGGAAACAGCACAATTTTCAAGGAACAACAACCAAAAGAACATTTTCTAAGACTGTCGTATAGAGGAAGGCCACATGGGTTGATTTACCCATGACTGACAATGAGTAGCTTCTTCCCAGTTTTCTTGGAAACAGCACAATTTTCAAGGAACAACAACCAAAAGAACATTTTCTAAGACTGTCGTATAGAGGAAGGCCACATGGGTTGATTTACCCATGACTGACAATGAGATGCAGTGAGAAAAATAGTTATTATATGGCTCAAACTCGTGGTTCTAGTGATCTTCTAGGAAGGAACTCATTGTCATGGTGTTATAGGATCAAAAGGAATCTGAATGTAAGACCATCTCCAAGAATTTGTTAAATTATTATTTTGATTAAAATATATACTCATTTATAATGTGTAATTTTTTTTTTTTTTTTCTTCAACAATTTGTTAAGATTCACAAATACAATTTGTTAAGATACACAAATATGTAAAATTGTTGTATATTTTACACAATTTTTTTACACAGTTAAATCAATATATTTCATTTCTCTTCCCTTTTTCTCTTTCCATTAACGAATTAACCTTCTATGAAGTATGTTTGTATAAGTTATGTAGGGATACCTAGTTGGTTGGTTGTTATTGGCAAATACAATTTTACACAAAAATTTTAAAATAAAATTATTGGAACTAAAGATAAGTAGTCCAAAATTTTTGTATAAATCTACTATGACATATAAGATTTACACAAAAAAATATATATATACCCAACCACTTAAGATGCTCTAATGGACTACAAATTTTGGAAACTAGGATCTTGTAATTGTCAAACAAATTTTTATATTTTTATAATATGAAGGCATCTCAATCTAATGGACTACAAATTTTAGAATTAAGTTCAGGTTGGCTCAAATAAGTAAGTGTAATAGGTTGGGTGCTTCGGCCAGATTCGAGTTCTCGTTCCAATTAGGTCGTTCCAATTGGGTCCGACTCTGATACAAATTATAACGAGTTAGGTGCTTCGCAATTCGATCCAAAAATTTAAGTTATAAGCGGGACTAACATCCAACTTATTTATATTCATTATATTTCTTATCTGGATCCGACGTGGGACAAATATCTAACAGTAAGTCATTTGGTCCTCCCACCTCAGAAAGTATTAGGTCTAAAGTTGGACTAAAAAAATTTGTCAAACAATATATTTTAACTATTGGAGCCAAGCGGAGCAAACAATTTTGGATTTATTCTTAGTATATGGAATTTGAAGAACCAAACAAGTCTATATATACATGCCTCTTTATGGAATTCATTGGCATCGTTGGCAATTTCAAAGATAAGTTTAAAGGTAAAGTGCAAAAAAAATCAATTGATTATGTTTGAATTTGTAAATAACTCTTCTTAACTATATTTTGTGCATAATACCTCATGAATTATCACATTATGTTGTAAAATGTCCCAATGTCTAAACTATATTTCATTAAATAACAATAATACTATTTCTAATTGAATTACACTTAATTTATTTTTCTTATTAAAATAAATTATGAAAAAATTCATACTAATTTGAGGACATATTCTCCATTAAATTTGCATAAATTTACCTTTAATTTTTATAATTAATTGCTTAAATAAAAATCTTAGGTAGAAAATTTTAAAACAATTTAATTAATTTCTTAATTTTTTATGAATATATTAAATGAAAGAGAAGGAATTTTTTATTTAAGTAATTTATTAAATTTTCATCAATATATTGTATGAAAAAGAATGTATTTTTCTACGATAAATAAGTTTAAACAAGGTATAATAAGTTTTATTATAAATAATAAATTTTAATAATAAGTTAATCATTTTTGAAAATGGTATTTACAAATACATTTTTATCATTTTTATGATAAATTGATAATTAATAATAAAATTAAGGTAAATAGTATAATTAATATTTTGATAAGAGAAAATATAATAAAATAATTTAATTAAAAAAGACAAATTTAATGAAAAAGGGTAAAATAGTCTTGAGTAGTGATAATTGCACCGATTTGTTGTAGTGAATTAGCTAACTAGAAGTTTATGATTGATTATTTATGCATAATACAAGTAAGTAGAATGCCTTACTTCCTTATTTGTTGCATAGATGGACCAATTTTAAAAAATAGGATGCAAGAATCATTTTCCAATAGTTTTTTACAATGAATTTATCCTTAATTATAACAAATTACTAATTTAAGGGAACAATTTTTAGTTTTACGGGTTAATTTGTAAAAGACACTTAACCCAAAAGATAATGACTAGATTTCATTCAGAAAAAAGAGAAGATCCCCTTGGATTCCAAAATAATGGGTCGCAGGTTGTGTGGAGGGATGAATGTATTTGTGATGTTTAGCATCTAATTCGAATGCAATATTTGTGATGTTTAGCATCTATTTCTAATAGATACTAAGTAACAAATCATATTTTTGATGTTTAGTATTTTTTAAATAAAATATTTGAAAGGAACAAAATGAATTTATAAAACATGTAATTAGCTCCAACATTAGTTTGACCTTTAAACCAATTCAGCATTTAACAATTCGTATGAGTCACAAATGTCTTTAAAAAGAAAGAACAATTCGTATGAGTCACAAATGTCTATATGAAGAGCATTCGATGATGCGCAGTTAGTTTTTTGGGAATAAATGGGGGAGAAAATAGTAAAAAATAATCAGGCTGTGTGCACTGTTTCAACGATACAACCAATCCCTTTTGTGTTTTGAACCATTTATGCTTAGTTTGGTTATAAGGATGGAAAAATGGATGGAAGAGATAAGAGAAGGATAAAGAGGGTGTCTTTTTCATTTTATATTTGGTTGACTGAAATGGATGGTAGAAATATATGATGAACGGAGTGATACTTTTTTCTTGTTTGGTTGGAGGGAAGGGAAAGAGAGTCCTTATATTATTTTTACGAATACACCCTTTTATATAAACTTATAAAATGTAGATATTTATTTCAAAATTTTTGAAAAAGCTAAAATTGTAAATAATAAATTTATAGGTAGTTATGCTTTCTTTCTCTCCTCTCTACCTCCCAAAAGTGGGTGAATAGAAAAACATAAAGGAAGGAGCGATGCTTAGCTTGCCTTCATCCCTCCTTATTTCCTCTAACTCTTCTCTTCCCTCCAACCAAACACGAAAATATTTATTCATCCCTCCTCTCATCCATCTTCTCACAATCTTTCCCTC